TGTCTTTGGCTGCAGTGAGTTTCCAGATCGCCGTGATGCCCCAGCAGTCGCGATGGCCGAGCTCCATGTGAAGAGCAGGCTGCCATGTTGGGATCCGCAGCCCCCGGAGAGAGAGCCAGAGACCCTCTGCGTTCTCCTTTGCAGAGGGTCTCATAGACCAGGCTGCCCCGTCACCATCTTGCCGGAAGTCCTTTATGTTAGGTGATTTTATTATTGTGTCACCATCATAGTGTAGTACTTACACAACCTAGATGGGAGAGCCGGTCACACACCTTGGCTGTATGGAATAGCCTGTTGTTTCCAGGCTACAAACTTGTACAGCATGTTACTGCATTGAATACTGCAGGTAATTGTAACACAGTGGTATGTATTTATGTGTCTAAACATAGCTAAACATAGCAAAAGTGTGGCATAAAATATTCTTAAAGTGGTACACTTACATGGGCACTTACCATGGATGGAGCTTGTAGGACTGGAAGTTGTTTTGGGTGAGTTGGTGAGTGAGCGGTGCTTGAATGTGAAGGCCTAGGACATTACTGTGCATTATTGTAGACTTCGTAAACACTGTACACTTAGGCAACACTAAATTTATAAAATATATTTTTCTTCAGAAATCAACTTTAGATCATTGTAACCCTTTTACTTTGTAAACTTTAAAATTTTTTTAACTTTTTGACTCTTGTAATAACACTTAGCTTAAATACTAATACGTTGTATAGCTGTTCAAAACTATAAACTTTTTTTCTGTTTTTAAATTTTGGGTTGTTTTTAACTTCTTAAACTTTTTTGTTAAAAATGAACGCATAAACACACACATTAGCCTAGCCCAACAGGGCTAGGAACATCAATATCATTGTCTTTCACCTTTACATCTTGTCCCACTGGAAGCTCTTTGGGACAGTAACACACATGGGGTTGTTATCTCCTATGATGATAATGCCTTTTACTGGAATACCTCCTGAAAGACCTGTCTGAGGCGGTTTTACAATTAACACTTTTTAAAAAATAAGCAGGAAACACACACTCTAAAATAATGATACAAAGTAGTATATACATAAGCCAGTAACATAGTCATTTGTTACCATTATCAAGTATTATGTACTGTACATAATTATATGTGCTATACTTCTATACCACTGGCAGCTCAGTAGGTTTGTTTATACCTGCATCATCACAAACATGAGTAATGCATTCTGCTACAATATTATGACACTAGATGATAGGAATTTTTCAGCTCTATTATAATCTTATAGGACCACCGTTGTATATGCGGTCTGTCATTGACTAAAATATCATTATGCAGTGCCTGATTGTAATTGCCTTTTCTCAGTATTTTTGCATAGAGCACTTATATAAGAGAGGATTCTTGATTACAAATAGCAACAATCCCAATTCACACTAACTTAAACAATAAGGGGAATAGTTTGTCTCAAAAGTGAAAACTACAGATTTAAAGCATGTTTCAGATTCTCTTGATTCTCTGCCTTCTTCTCTATATTGGTTTTATCCTCTTGCTGGCTGGCTTATGGGAATGTGACTGCAGCAGTTCCAGACCTCCTGTCTATACAGCATAAGGACACCCTCAACCATTGAACTGGAGACCTGAGCTTCATTCTGATTAGGCCAATCTCAGGTCCCTGAAGCAGTCACAGTGGTAAGGGCCATGGAAGTGAATCCCAGCCCAGGTACACCAAGTGAAAGAAGGTTCGATACTGAGGAAAACCTACTGTAACATTGTCCACTACAAAGTTGTTTATAAGATATTATCTACAACGTGTTTATAAAGGAAATAAGCATATAATTCACTAGTTTGTTTTTAACCTCACATGAAACTAATGCTGCCTATATTCTTATTAAAATAGCCCACGTGCAAAAAGAAAATGTCCAACAAGAGTGGTTTGGTTCTGATATGAAATCCTAGGGTTATGGTCACAACATTTGGGTCCCCAGCATCTCAGTCTATCCTAGCAACACCAAGATCAGTACTTTGGAAACTGATGAGTCTGGACTACCTTTGTGATCCTATCTGGAATCTGCCCTTGGCCTTCTAGCTTACAATGCTAGAAGTATTGGTATTCTTTGAGAGAGTCTTCTATATTAGTACAAATGGAATGACAGAAATCTTTAAATATTCATTTTATTATAACAAAGCTTGTATGCTTTTCAGCTCCAAGTAATAGCTGTCATATATAAAGTTGATGTTTTTATGTATAAAGAAGCCGACATAATATGATTTCAGGCTAGTTATAATATATTGTGGAAAAGATCAGAAATATAATGATCTCTTTATAACCCATAATTGGATTCTCTTTGTTAAAAAAATCTAAAAAAGCAAGGGTTCACTTTTAACCAGCAAAGCTTCACCAGGAAAATTTTAAGCATTTATTGAAATAAAACCGAGCCATCATTGCCATCAAGGAGGGTTGTACTCCTATTTCCAGTATACAGCTTCTAACATTGACTAGTTATTAGATTCTACACACTTCAACACAATGTTTCTGAGGTCTTATACTTGCTATTATATAATTAAGCATTCCTATCATGCATAACACTTATTTCCTGAAATAAACTTTAATTCAGCACTCTGGAAATAAATGCTATTTCTCATTGAGACATATGAGATTTCTAGTTCCTTACAGGGCACAAAAAATTAGAACACTGCTCACCTTTATATAAAGGGGGACCAAAAAAACCCTTGAATTTATTTATAAAAAATTGTGTGTTCTTCCATGTTTAAACTTTAGTCACCTTCAAAGGACTCTCCATTTGATGCAATAACACCTGTTAAGACACGTTTTCCACTGCTCAAAACTGTTTTGAACCTGTCGATTTTGATGTCTTTTAGCGCTTCTGCCCTCTTTCCTTTCACCTCTTCCATATCAACAAAACATTTCCTTTCCCTATGAGGACTTTTCTTCTTCCAGGGAAATGAGCAACAGCAAAAAGTCACTCGGGGTGAGGCCGGGTGAACAGGGAGGGTGGGGCATGGGGGTCGTGCCATTTGGGGTCAACCACTGCTGAACACGCAGCGTGGTGTGGGCAGGTGCCCATCGTGAAATTGGCAAACACATAGAAAGAATCTCCAAAAAAGCTCACTGAAGCTGAATGCAGCCTCTCACGACAATGCTAGCTAGTACACTGATGCCGATGGATTCCTAGAATGCTTACCTATCAAGGGAAGCCTGTACTACAAGGGGCCCACCCTCCAAAAAAATAATTCTGGGTTTTGGGTGCCCCTCATAGCTGACAAACTTTGTGTTCATATTAACAAAATCATTACCTCCCCTTCTTTTTTTAAAAAAACACTTTTATAACATTTTATTTTAAATTTCTGTCACTTTGGAGGGGTAAAATAGTTTTTGGTCTGGGCTTTAAATGCACACACCGCCCTCACCAAGGCACATTGTACCTGATACCTCCCCTTCTTTCTTAACTACTAGTACTAACTTTTCTGCCATCAACTTTTAACTTACTGCATGCAACGTATAGCCAAGTAAAGTAGAAAAAGTGGCAGAGACTTGAGATACTGTTCTCACGTTAAAATTCTGACTTTAGGAATGTCCTTCTAAATCTAAACAGCTAAACATCTAAACAAGGGATGTTCAACCTTTTGGCTTCCCTGAGCCACATCAAGTAAAGAGGAATTGTCTTGGGTCCCACATAAATTATATAATATAGTTAGTATTTATATAAGAAGATTCTTTTCACTTTTTATATTTTTATTATAAAATTAGACAAATAACAATATATAATTAGTGGAAAATTTGACCTTGTTTTTATGAAATTAATCTATCAATGTCTGGTTCAATGGGAGTGGTTGCAATCCTTAGTGAGTTCTCAAGGTGCCCATCAGAAATGTTTGTTCAAATTTCGCTCTTTGTGTGCTTCATAATTGAAAAAACAGCTGCTCACATGTGCATATTCTACCACAAAGCAATGTCATGAATAAGGTGTGATTGTGAACTTTAAAAATGGAACTATGCATGGGGTCACCAAGAAGATAAGTGCTAAAAAACACATAATGTTAAAAGGTTGTGTGGGGCTGCATTACTAATAGTCCTGGGCTGCATGCAGCCCTGATCTAACCCTTGAGACAGCTTGTTTCTATTTCCCCAGGAAGAGGAAGATGAGACAACTAGCTTAAAGAAACTTTTAATTATACTAGTGTTTCTCAAGGTGAGAAGTGATTCGGTGTCTATGAATCTCCCATGAAACAGGAAACAAAGAAAACCTCATCAAGGAGGGAAGACAGAAAAACCAGATTTGCATTTTCTAAGTTTAGGGTGATTCAGTTGTATGTTTTAAATATTGCAACTTCTTTGATCAGCAGATATTTGGTAGTGCTTTTCAAAGCCCAGTGGACATTTTTCTCCCTCTCATTCTCTCTCTCTCTCTCTCTCTCTCCCTCTCTCTCTTTCTCTCTCTTTCCCTGCCCCCCTTCCCTGCCTCTCTTTTACAAAACAGGTTCTTTCTTTTTTTTTATTTTTTAAATTTTTTTACAAAACAACTATATCCTACTTGTCCCTAATCATGCACCTGTGGATTGGCCATGACATTTGGGTGCATTGTTTTGGAGGGGATGTATATAACCTTCTGAGTGATTTTGCATCTCAGCTGATGTCCCTGTGCCCTCTGCCTGCAGGTCAGTTGTATTTGGTAATGGGAATTTCATCATTTCTCTTTCATTCATGTTGGGAGGAAAGATTTTCCAGTCCTAGAGAAATCTCTCCTGCTGATTAGGAAAATATCGTGTCAGTGCTTAATAATTTACTGTTTACATAATCAAAGATATTATTTTTAGTTACAAAAGTAGTTGTCTTAAACTTCTATCTGAATTAATAATATGTATTTATAAATATTTCTTAGAAGTAATGCTGCATATGTAAGTTACAGATAATTTTTTCTTATAAGAAAACTGCTTTTTTTCTTTCCCTCAGGAACGTTTCCCGACATCTCTGTTGCTTTGTGAGTACCCAAACATGCCAATAGCCTCTCAGGAATCAAGTTAAACTTAAAGAAGACTTAACTTAGAAACTTTGGAGAGTGTATCATGGAGTGTAAGATTGAGAGAAAAGATAAATACCAACATAGCTTGAATTTACTGAATAAAATTAAGGACATGAAAGAATTAGCAGAAATGATTGATGTCATACTCATAGCAGAAGAGGAGAAATTTCCTTGCCACCGACTGGTCCTGGCTGCATTTAGTCCTTATTTCAAAGCTATGTTCACCTGTGGACTACTTGAATGTACTCAAAGGGAAGTCATACTCTATGATATCACAGCAGAAAGTGTGTCAGTGCTATTAAATTACATGTACAATGCAACTTTGGAGATCAATAATGCCAATGTACAGACTGTAGCTATGGCTGCCTATTTTATGCAAATGGAAGAAGTCTTTGATGTGTGTCAAAAGTATATGATGAACCACATGGATGCCTCCAACTGTGTAGGTATCTATTATTTTGCTAAGCAAATTGGAGCTGAAGATCTATCTGATCAATCGAAGAAATATTTATATCAGCACTTTGCCGAGGTGAGCTTACATGAAGAAATACTAGAAATTGAAGTGCACCAATTCCTGACACTTATTAAATCAGATGATCTTAATATAACCAGAGAGGAGAGCATTCTGGATCTAGTTCTGAGATGGGTAAATCATAACCAAGAATTGCGGACCGAGCATCTTGTTGAGCTTTTGAAGCAAGTCAGATTGGAACTTATAAATCCTTCTTTTTTAAGACAAGCCCTAAGAAGGAACACAGTGCTGCTATGTGATGCAGGCTGTATTGATATAATTCAAAATGCATTCAAAGCCATCAAGACACCCCAACAGCACTCTCTAAATCTGCGCTATGGCATGGAGACTACCAGTCTTCTGCTTTGCATTGGCAACAATTCTTCAGGAATCAGATCAAGACATAGGAACTATGGAGATGCCAGTTTTTGTTATGATCCTGTATCACGGAAGACCTATTTCATTTCATCTCCCAAGTATGGGGAGGGTTTAGGAACCGTGTGTGCTGGCGTTGTCATGGAAAATAACACTATAATTGTGGCTGGAGAAGCAAGTGCCTCTAAACTCGCTAGACAAAAAGACAAGAATGTTGAAATCTATAGGTTTGTATCTAGCAGGAAATTTGTTCAATTATCTTACTTTGCTACTAGCAGCAGTAGAAAAAAGTGCTGTTGAAAGAGTGATCACATCTTAAATTACATGTAGTCAAAATTACCCTGTAAGTCCCTATAAAGCTTAGTGTGCAGAACATGTTTTTGTGTATATATGTGTATAAAACCTGAATATAAACATAGCATATATACATTCACAATGAAATCACCCATGTTTTAAAATTATTTCTCTCTTCCTTTAATTGTTAACATTTATTTGAATCTGCATAAGTTAAACGTGTTTATATCACGATTCCATTGTATTTTTCACTCATAGTTTTCATTATTTATCCTTATGCTAGGGCATAACACATTTTTTTTGAGTTGTGGAATATGTGTGAGGATTTGCTACATAAGTAAATCGCGTGCAAGTGAGGTTTGGGCTTCTAACGAGCCCTCTCTTCCCCTGGTAGTGGACATAGTAACATAGTTCCCAGTGGGTGGTGTGTGCCCCCTTATCTCTTCTCCCTCCTTTAGCAGCTCCCACCATGTTTTGTTCCCACCTTTGTGCTCGCATGCCCAGTGTTTAGGACCCACTTTGAGTGAGAACATGTGGTATTCAGTTTTTTTGTTTCTGTGATAGTTCACTTAGAAGGATGGTCTCCAGCTACATCCATGTTGCTGCAAAAGTCATATTTTTCTTGTGTTCTATCTTAAACTCAACCAGGTTCCCATCACCAATCAGCTTCTCCAAATTTGTCAAAATTAGGATAAAAGTTATCAGTTACTCTCATCATTTCCTCCAATAATGAGATTGTCAGCAAGGCAAATAATGAAATTACCCTACTACTTTAGTAGTGAGTGTTATTTTAGTGCCAGTTTTATAAAATTAGTGAGAAATGTACCATCTTGTGGTACGTTCCTACTATATTGTTTCTGTATCTTAGCCCTTTTATCTTTGTCCAGATGCTCTTCAATTTGCCCCTTCTCTATAGTTTATAGATTTTTATACAGATATTTTTCTTCTTGACTTAACAGAGGAATTAGACTAGTGCTCTGGCAGTTCATTCCTTTTCAAAAAGATATACTTCCCCATCTCCTTTACTGATCTCTCACACTTTGGCATACAAACAGCTGAGGAGATAAGTATTATCTTTACACTATCAACTCTATTAACATTTCATGCCTTTGTCACTGTTGTTTTCTTTTTTTATGTCATATTCACTTTTCTTAATAATAAGTTTTATAGGCCAGGTGTGGTGGCTCATGCCTATCATCCCAGCACTTTGGGAGGCTGAGGTGGGAAGATTGCTTCAGCCCAGGAGTTCAAGACCAGCATAGGCAACACAGTGAAACTTTGTCTCTACTAAAAATCAAAAAAATTAAACAGGCATGGTGGCACATGCTTGTAGTCCCAGCTACTCAGGAGGCTGAGATGGAAGGAGACCCTGAGCCCAGGAGGTTGAGGTTGTGGTGAACCATAATCATGCCACTGCACTCCAGCCTGGGATACAGAGTGAGACCCTGACCAAAAAAAAAAAAAGTTTTATCTGGGCATTTTCTCTCCCCATTTTTAGTTCTAAATGTTAAAACAAAAATAAGATGAGCAAATCACCCAACAAACGTACTTTCCAAACTTCATGGGACGTAACCCATTCATAGTCTATTTTCTTAAACTATGTCTCAGAAAACCCAAACCCACTCAAAAAAATTTTTGTTTTATTTTAAAGATGTGGGGTACAATTCAGGGTTAAGTATACAAATGTTCATTATGCAGGTACCCCGTTGATGAAATGTGTCCCTGCTCCCCTGGCAGATTCCCACTACTGCCCACCCCTACCCCCCCCCCGGCAGTTTCCCACTAATGCCAATCCTTTTCTTATAGTATTACAATAATTGTTCAAGGTCCGCTTATGAGTGAGAACATGAGCTAATCGGTTCTTTGTTTCTGTGAAAGATCACTCAGTATTATAGACTCTAAGTCCATCCAGGTTGCTGTGAAGTTCATGATTTTGTCCTTCTTTATGGCTGCATAATATTCCATCGTGTATATATACCACATTTTTTTATCCAGTCCTCTTTTGATGGGCAGCACAATTGGTTCCTTGTTCTTGCTATTGTGATCAATGCTGTGATAAGCATATGTGTGCAGGTATCTTTTTCACAGAGTGATTTGAGTTCTTCCAGGTATATTCCCAGTAAGGGGATTGAGGGGTCATATGGAGGGTCAATTTTTAGATCTTTTAGGAATCATCACACTGTTTTCCACAGAGGCTGTTCTAGTGTACACTCCCACCAGCAGTATAGAAGTGTTCCCTTTTCCCCACATCTTCTCTAGCATCTGTTGTTTTTTGAGTATTAATGATGGCCATCCTGACTAGAGTTAGGTCCAAACCCACTTTTTATTTCTATTTATATATTCATTCATTTGGCTTTACTTCAGTAGTTCCCACATATAGACACCTAGTCCTCCTTTCTTTTCTAAAATTCATACAATTATCCAGCTTAGGCAACATAGCAAAACCTTGTCTCTACAAAAAAATTTAAAAATTAGTTGGGCAAGGCGACACATGCCTGTAGTCCCAGCTACTCAGGAGATTGAGGCAGAAGAATCACCTGAGCCCGGGAGGTCAAGGCTGTGGTGAACCGTGATCATTCCACTGCATTCCAGTATGAGTGAGAGAGTGAGACCTCGGCTATAAATAATAAGTAAATAAATAAATTCATACAATTAAAAACAATGGTGAAGATATCACCTGTGACTCTAAGGACTTTGACTTCCAGCCTAGAACTATAGGGAAGATAGCCATCCTATGGTTTGATTAATTTTTTCATTCAGTTGTGACAGCCAGACACGCCCTTTAAGAAAAGAACATGCCTTCCAACTTCCTTGTCAAGTCTGAAGTAAAGTTATCCATGGGGAAGAATATCAGAATTGGCCTAGAACAAATAGAAAAACCCTTATATGATTAGCTGCCAGATGTTTGATGCAAAATGAAGTAGTCTATACTTAAAAATTGTACTCTATACAAAACACACATATCATAATTTCCTCATTTGTTTCTAAACAGGACAACTTTTGTCCTTAATTTTCATGCTTTCCTGGTTTTTATGTTTTGTTTTGTTTTAATTTTGAATTCCAGGTATACTTTCTGGATTTTCTGGGACACTTACTGTCATATATTTATCCTACTGTCCCCATAAGTACTTTTGTCCTTCTCATTCTTTGTATCCCCAATTGTGATTGGAGGTAAGGACTTACCATGATCATGAGACAAGACAAAGGACAGCCATGAATCATAGACTCACTGACTATATAATGCCCCCTACATTCACATAATCAGTTGTGTTGGACACTGGAAGACATTGAGAGACCATATATACTACTGCCCCTACCTCCTAAGACTTTTCTCAGTCTGGTATTCTTGGAGAAATTACTGAAATTACCACTTCTAGTAGATTAAAATAGATGTTAAGTACCCAGCAGACATCTACAGGTGGGTTTTTATCCAGTACTATTGACCCAACTTTAAACTAGTTAGAACTACAACAACAATGCTTAAAATTCTACACATTCTACATCATCCTATCAGAGATGTATGAATTGATACATTTCTTAGATTCTCTGCCCTAAAACTGTGGTTTTATCAATGTAGTTTTTCTTTAATTTTAAAGATTTGGGGTACAATTCAGTGTTATGTATGCAAATGTTCATTATGCAGGTACCCTTGTTGAGGTGTGCCCCTCCTTCCCCAGGCAGATTCCCACTACTCCCAATCTCACTTCCCCGCCCCCCTCCTGGCAGTTTCCCGCTACTGCCAATCCTTTTCTTATAGTCATTAATGTAGTATTAAAGTGATATTTCTTGTCCACAAAATACAGTATTTTTGTAGTTTTACTTATACTCTTTTTTGGTAAGATTACAAATGATTTGCTGAGAGACTTTCCTGTTTGTTCTTGGTTTTCTTTCCAAGAATTAGGAAATGAAAGCAATTCCTGGATAATCTATAATTTTTCTATCAACTTTTTTCTTAAATTATTCAGATATGTTTGGTTTCTCATTTTTAAGCATATTATATTTTATTCATCAGTTCTTTAAAGAAAAGCAAACTTATACCGCTAAAGCCAGTATAATGTATTAATGATTTTTGTCCTCCAATTAGAACCATATTTTATTGTTTTTAATTTGAAAAGAAACTTAAGTGTATTCCTTGAGTAAATTATTTTCATGTTAACACTAATCCTGAATTTTCTCTCTTAATTTACAGGTATCATGATAGAGGAAACCAGTTTTGGGAAAAGTTATGCACAACTGAATTTCGAGAGCTATATGCTCTGGGCAGTATCCATAATGACCTCTATGTTGTAGGAGGACAGATGAAAATTAAAAACCAATATCTTATTACAAACTCTGTTGATAAGTACTCTGTAGAACAGGACAATTGGAAAAGGGTGTCTCCCCTTCCACTACAATTGGCGTGTCATGCTGTAGTAACAGTGAAAAATAAACTTTATGTGATTGGAGGCTGGACCCCTCAGGTTAAGAAATTTCCTTTATAGCTAATTGGCATGGCTATGCTGAGGCTGGCTGCTATGTTGAAAAGTGTTGTCATTGTTCAATACTAAAAAAGTACGACTTACATTTTGGTAAAAGGTTTTTTGTTTTATAAAATATAACTTAAGGTTTTAAAGTGTTAAAACAATTTAGTAGAGTGAATTTTAATGTGTATTATTTATAGACATGACTTCATTCTGTATTCATGCTGAGTTCTTTATAATCCTTCCATTCTTGCTAATTATGAAAGATACTTGTGCCAAGGGATTATCTGTAGGGAGCATCTTAGTAGGAGGCAGAAAAGCTGGATCCTCATCCCAGTTCTGTCTGTTTAATAGCTGTGTGACCCAAGGCAAGTAACTCTTAGGCCTTTTCCATATTTCAAATTCTTACTCTAAGTGGGAAACCAGAATTCCTATTTGTGGTGGCACAATCATTTTCACAAAAGCATATTGTGATTGTAAAAACTGTTTTTACTGGACATCAGCAAACAGAGAACCCAAAATGCTGTTTGTATTGAAGCCCTGCGATGGCAAACCAGAACTGAAAACTCAGGAGTGAGAGTCCACAGCGGTCCTTTCCCTTCCCTCTGGGTGTCCTCTCCTGGTGCCTTGGAACACTCTCCGTAGTATTCCTCCAGCTGCCTTCTGCCCCGGCCAGCCAATCGTTCTAATAAAAATTCATTTGGCTAGCTCATTAGCTGTCCTCATGACATAAAGTACATTTATTTTTGCTCATAGTATTTATTGGTACTCTAGATTTTCTTCGTGATAAAACTGATATTATTTGCATAAATTCCATGCATTTGGGTTTTGTCATATATAATATATCATGCCTGTTTTAAAAACATAAACTTCACATTTAATACATTTTAAAATGTGTGCTATATATAAAAAAGTAGTACAGGTTTCATCACAGCTAATAGCAGAAACCTAACAAATTATTTGTAATTAACCTTTTAAAAAACTATCCATTTACATAGTTACTTTTACATGAACAAGCTCCAAAGACAACTTAGAAGCTTTTCTTTGCTTTTCTTTCACTAAAATAGAGATTAAATACTTAAATTAGAAGGAAAATCAAAACCATAAAGTCAACATTTGTTAATTTATGAAGTCTTTGAGCAGATAACACGTGAACATTTACTGCACAACAAAGGCTTTTGCTAGCCTGATTGCGTACCTAGTGCAATATACTAAATTGCAAGATCACATAGAGTTGTGTATGCACCATAGAGAAAATAACTCTTGGTGTATTTAAAGTAGTTAATTAGAATTAATTGTATACAGCTTTCAGAAGTATGCAGTAATTTCTTTGTTGAACACTTGCATCCAAAAAAGACACTTACAAAACCTTAGCTTGAAGTCATATAAAATTATGGATACCTTGTATACAAAAAACACTATCTCACTGAAGTTTGAGTAAGAGAAGCCACTTACATCTGTGTAAGAATAAAGTTATTCACTTTGTATTGACTCTAGTCACTAAAAATACCGAAATAAAATAAGTACATAAAATGATTTATATTAATCCAAATATCTGTAAAATTGAATTCAGATCATTCCTATTAGGTCATAATTGTGGCATAAAAATACTCTAATTACTAAAACATGAAAATTTTTTTGCAACTTTGTTCCATGTGGATTAGAAAAATAGAAAGAAAATGCCTCATAAATTATTAAAACTAATTTCTCACAACTTATTAAAATTCACAGCTATAAAATTTCATAAAATAGAATTACACTTTAAGTAATGTTCAAGAGAGCTTGGTTTCATGTTTAAGGCTTTGCAGTTGCTTCATTTTTTAAAAAAAAGCTATAATGTCTCACTGCTAAGATCACAGATTGTTTGCTATAACCAAACACCTTAGCCCCATTATTTTATAATATAAATCCCTCTGATATTGACAGTGTACTTATAAGCCCAAGTCATGGGGTTCAGTGTGTTTGTGTGAGTCACTACAGTTAACCTATATTTATCTCCTTGGCTGTCTGCTTTGATTAATTGCATTCATGTACTCACAAAGATCTCTAAGTGGAATGTTATTATATTGGCTGTCATATTTCATACAGATGGATCTTCCTGATGAAGAACCTGATCGATTAAGCAACAAACTGTTGCAGTATGACCCCAGCCAAGATCAATGGAGAGAGCTGGCACCCATGAAGTACTCTAAGTACCGATTCAGTACAGCTGTAGTCAACAGTGAGATTTATGTTTTGGGTAAGAAGAAGGAGATTGCTAACAGATTACTTTTATTTTTCTCAGCAGTGTGCCCTCAAAATGAAATGTTATCTTTTCCTCTTGCGTCCCAGTTCAGATTTATACACAACTAACTAAAATTTTTCTTGTACTTCTTATTTTCTGGAGCGTGTTCAAATAAGTCTAAATGAAAGTCCATTGATTTATGAGAGCAAAATTATTTTATAGCATTTTCAAATACCTTAGATTGCAAAAACAGTAGTGACACATCCTTACAAATACTACCAACTAATGGGAATAAGCCTTTGGCCCCTTTAGTCAATGAAATGTGGGCTTTTGCAACCAACTGTGATGATCTGTGCTATTAGAAGAGAAAGCCACCATAGTTAAGACTGCCACAGATTGTGCAATCCTCATTTTGCCTAACCCACAAAATGTCTAGAGACGTTCAAACAGTTTTCATCTGATTGCATCTTGTCTTACCTCTTGAATATGTGTGATCTTTTGTTAGCCAGCAGGAATTGGTGGAAGACAACATCAGTTCAGTCACACTAAAGCATGTAAAAACAACTCCAGAACATCCTCTGTATTTCCTCATCCTTCTTTACTTCGTTTCCCCCCTCCATTTTATTCAGTTCTCTGCTTTTCCAACGACATTTTGTCTCTCTAACATCATCCTCTATCACCTTACCCCACCTCCTTAACTATGGGAAAGAAAGACTGAGGCAAGGAGGCCGACTAGATTGATGAAATGAAGGCCCATCTACATTGATGACCAACTGGCAAAAACATGGGGAAGACAATGGGTAGCAAAGAAATGGCAAGGAAGATGTGTGAAATGAGGGATGGAAGCAAACCAAACATTTGAATAGAAATGATTATGATGATGGTTAGTTTTTATGAAAGGGAGGCTGCTAACTCTTTGCTACTTGCACAGCATGAAGCAAAATAATTAATGTACTCAAGTATTACTAGTGATGATTTTAAGAACAAGAACACTATGTGACATAACTTATGACTGCCTCAGTTATGAGACTCACTTATAATATTTTTCTCTAGCTATATCTTTGTTGTAACCATATGCCATGTCATGTCACAGGCCCAGAAAAGATGATACCTAAGTTATGATAGATCGCCTAGGATCTACTAAGTACATTAAAACTGGAGATAGCCAAAAGTGATGTATCAATTGAATCAGAATGAGATTTCCCCTTGATGTGGAGCCTCAGCTAAGCTAGATGTGGAATTTAAATGATAATGTCTGTTTGTTAAATTATGTGGGAAGAAGAACTTTAGAGACACTATTTGGAGCTTACACTTCATGTCATGAATAAATGTCCACTGAATAATGAAAAGAGGTAGATTTTAAAGGACATATAAAATCTAAGTAGGTGAAATTGAGAAAAGAATATGCTCCAGGAAAGGTGCAGTGGGAAGGGACAGGAAAGAGCAGGTAAGGTGAATGGCCTAAGCAATGGTTTAGAGGTGAGAATGAAGGTGGTGAGAGCAGTAGATAAAAGGAGAGAGTAAATGAGCCCACTAGGGACAGTGTTGTGAGAGACAGAGTTGTATAGGAAAGCTGGAAACCAGACTGTAGAGACCTATGGAAGAAGAATACTAATGAACAGTGAGAAGACACAGGAGCAACAACATTAAAGAATGTCTTAGGAAGTGAGGTGAGGTGAGGATATATAAGAACATATCTAAGGCAAGAAGAAACTGGTAGATAACAATTAGGAAAGTTTTTATAATTACTTAGAATCTAGTTTCTGGATATTCAGAAGAGGGGACCAGATTTATACTTACCCCCAAAAGCTTTAACATCCTGTAAGATTAAACTGAAAAGAATCAAATTCCCCAATATTTACTACTTACTTTTCAAATATAATTATAAGCTTTGAAATAGAATAAAGTTAGTTTTGTAGTAGTTCACTGTATATAAAATTGGAATTTGGGTAGAACCCAAAAATCTAATTAGTTTTGATGACACATTATTTAGCAAAAGCCCTATCTATTTTGTGGAATCTATAGGCACTCCACTATATTGGGGGACACTGCCAATTAGATACAGTAAGCCATCTTTCTAATCCCTATATTGGACTTAATTTCTTACTATCTCCTAGATAGCCAATAGGATATCTCCCAAAGGGCAGCCTCTGAAACCTCCTTCACAAAAGCAGGGAGGACATCAGCTTTGAAGTTGAGTAGATTTGGATTGAAATCCTGGCTTTACCACTTACTACCTATATGTTCTTAGTCTAGTAAAATTTTGTTTATAATATTAAAATTGGAATGCCTACCTCTTTGAGTTATTAAGAGGAAATAAAATATGAAAAATCCCTACAATATAGGTGTTTGGATATTATAACTACTGTTTATTGAGCCCCTTTATGTTATAGACACTGCTGAGTTTTTTACACAGTTTCAATTAATGGTTATACAAATGGAGGAAGTGTTAACTTTCTTTTGTATGACCATCTAGATATCTAAACTAATCCTCCAACTAGAAATCTCTGAGAATGTTGGGTAAAGCATATTTTAAAAACACTTTTAAGATCTGCCATGCCAGTAAGAATTTGGCAGGCCAAAAGCTAAATGAAAGCAAGACTTCTAGCTATAGAAAACTGAAGAGATCAATATCCTTTACCCAGAAAACAACTATACAACCAGACAATTTGTAAAAAAAAAAAACCAACTTAGATCTCCAGAAATCAATCACAGATAAACAACATGTTGAGAAGAATTTGTTTGTAAAAACATAACAACTGCTGGGTGCGATGGCTCATGCCTATAATCCCAGCACTTTGGGAGGCCAAGGCAAAAGGATTGCCTGAGCCCTGGTGGTTCGAGACCAGCCTGGGCAACCTGGTGAGACCTCATCTCTACAATAAATCACAAAAACTAGCTGGGCATGGTGATGTGCATCTGTAGTTCCAGCTACTTGGAAGACTGAGGCAGAAGGATCACCTGAGCCCAGCAGGTCGAGGTTGTGGTGGCCAAGAGCATGCCACTGCACTTCAGCCTGGGCAGCAGAGTAAGACTCCTCAAAAATAAGTAAATAAGTAAATAAACAAAAAAATACATAAATAAAACAAAAAATGACTAAAGTTAAATTAAGACTTCAGGCAGTCAGTAGCATTCTCTCCTGAGGCTGACCCTATTCCCCACCCCAGGTCTTTCTACCAGAGTGAGGCTGGATGCAAAAACCAGCAGCTTTTTTTTTTTTTTTTTTTTGGTGAAAGAGAGCCAACATGCCTGGGAGTGAGGGTAGAAAATCCACACTCACAGTGGAAAATGGAAGAAGCCTGAAGCTTTCCTAGCCTGAGATTTAATTCTAGTTTGTATAACAGCAGACAAGAGAACCAGCCAGAAACTTAGAAGGGAGATCCTGAAAATGAGAGTTTTAGAGGGATATAATTTATCACACATCCTTGGAGGCCAAGGGAGCTGCATAAATGTGCAGCCCTAAGGAGGACCCAAGCTGCATCCATTTGCTGAGGAGACAGCCCTGACTGCATGCATATGCTGGGGAGATTTAAGAGAACCCAAGTTCTTCACACATGTGTAGATGACTAGAAGCTGAGGCTGTACAAAAGAGACCCAAGAAGACCAAGCAGAAAGTAAAAGTTATAGTAGACTTGAAAACTGCCTGGATTTTGAATGAAGATTCACCAAGAGAGGGTAGAAGCCTTACTAGTGTTTAAGTACAACCAACTAGTCATTTACAGCCACTAAACTATGCAGAAATAAGGATAACATGTAGGCTAAAAAATAAAAGTGAGTATTCTTTAAAACAAAGCAGAATGTTCTCACTCATAAGTGGACCTTGAATAATTATCATAACACTATAAGAAAGGGATTGGCAGTCATGGGAAACTGCCAGGGGAGGGCGGGGATGGGATTGGCAGTTGAGGGAAAATGCCAGGAGCGGGAGAGGCATACCTCATCAACAAGGATATCTGCGTGATGAAAAAAAAAAAAGTAAACCAAGAATTCTATATTCAGCAAAACTATCCTTCAATTATCCTTCAAAAATCTAGCCAGGTGTGATAACGCACACCTGTAGTTCTGGCTACTTGGAAGGCTGAGGCGAAAGGATCACTGAAGCCCAGCAGGTCAACACTGAAATGGCCGGGAGCATGCCACTGCACTCCAGGCTGGGCGACAGAGTGAGACTACAACTCATAAAAAAAAAAAGAAGGTGAAACAAAAACATACCCATATAAATAAAGACTAAGATAATACATGACTAGCTGACTTGCAAGAAATAATAAAGGAATACTAAAATTCTTCAGGCTGAAAGTAAATGATGCTAGACTATAACTTGAATTCATAAGAAGAAATGAAGAACACAATACATGATAAATATAAAGTAGTATATAAATATGTGATTTTCTTTTTTCTCTCAATTTCTTTAAAAGCTATAAAAGAATACAGATGCTCCTCAACTTACAATGCAGTTATGTCCAGAAAAGCCCATCAAAGTTAAAAATATAGTAAGTCAAAAATGCATTTAGTTCTCTGATAAACCCATCTTGAAATAAAAAAACTGTAAGTCAAATCATGATATGATGGGACAATTTATATAAAACAGTATGTGGCATTATATTGTTGGGTTTACCACAATAATATAGTAAATATGACTCTATCAGAAAGTCAAGGAGGAAGAAATGGGACGATATTGCAACAAAGTGACTTTTTAAAAATTTTATATTCAATATTTTTTATTGATATTGTGGGGTACAGTTAAGGGTTAGGTACACAAATATGCTTTGCTCAGGCACCCTTGTTGATACGAGGTGTCTCCCCATCCCCAGACAGATATTTATTACCGTTAATTCCATCTCCCTTCTACACCCCCATAGTTTCCCACTACTGTCAGTCATTTTCTTATAGTATTATGTTGGATGTTCAAGGTCCACTATATGAGTGAGAACATGTGATACTCAGATCTTTGTTTCTGTGAGAGGTCACTCAGTATTATAGACTCTAGTTCCATCCAGGTTGCTGCAAAATTCATG